CAAAGCTAGAATATGCAGTGGTTGTGTGGTGCCCATATCTTAAGAAGCACATCAACAAACTGGAAAAGGTGCAAAGACATGCTACTAAGTGGCTCCCAGAACTGAAGGGCAAGAGCTACGAGGAGAGGTTAGAGGCATTAAATATGCCAAAACTAGAAGACAGAAGAAAAAGAGGTGATATGATCACTACATACAAAATAGTAACAGGAATTGATAAAATCGATAGGGAAGATTTCCTGAGACCTGGAACTCTAAGAACAAGAGGTCATAGATATAAACTAGCTAAACACAGATGCCGAAGAAATATAAGAAAATTCACTTTCGCAAACAGAGTGGTAGACGGTTGGAACAAGTTAGGTGAGGTGGTGGAGGCCAAGACCGTCAGTAGTTTCAAAGCGTTATATGACAAAGAGTGCTGGGAAGACGGGACACCACGAGCGTAGCTCTCATCCTGTAACTACACTTAGGTAATTACACTTAGGTAATTACACACACACCCACCTGCCTGATAGCCGACCCACCCACCTGTTCACCCACATGCCTGCTCACCCACCCACCCACTTGCCTGATAGCCCACACACCCACTTGCCTGATAGCCCACACACCCACTTGCCTGATAGCCCACACACCCACTTGCCTGATATCCCACCCACCTACCTGTTCACCCACCTGCCTGCTCGCCCACCCACCCTCCCGCCTGTTCACCCACCTGCCCGCTCGAACCCACCTGAATGCTTGCCCATCCACCTGTTCACCCACTTCCCTGCCCACCCACCTGCCAATCCACCCACACACCTGTTGACCCACCTGCCTGCTTGCCCACCCACATGCCTGATAGTCCACCCTCACTAGGTGAGGGTGGGCTATCAGCCAGGTGGGTAGGTGCTCACCCACCTACCCACTTGCCTGCTCGAACCTGTTCACCCACCAAGCCCATCTGCCTGCCATCCACCCATCCAAAACCCACCTGCCGGAACCCATCTATCCCTGCCTGCCCACCCACCCACCTGCCTGCCCACCCACTTTCCCTGCCCACCTACCTGCTAGGCAGCTAACCACCCACCCAGCCCCACACACTGATTAGTGTGTCAATTCAAATCATTAGTGTGGTATAAAATTTTTTGGAAATGGTCCTATATGGACTCAGTGTTGAAAAAGTACTCTTATCCGGAAAACGTGATTATCCGGCTGGGGATCCTTCCCATATAGTCCGGATAATCGAGTGGAGACAGTAATATTGGAACATCTGTCGATTTCCGGTGCGGCTTACTTCCAGTCCTTTATAGGACTCGTTGGTACTCTTCCGTACTACTTGTCATCTTTCAATCCTATATCTAATTATTTTATAATCGCATCTTCTCTCAGTAATCAGTCTCGGCATTAATAATAATCATTACATAAGCCTTGTTAGGCACCCTCCCTGAAAGAATGGAGGAGCCAGTTTGGACCTCATGCGTCCTGAGCATGGCCCGTGAGTGATCATTTTGTTTATGGACGGCGTAATTATGTGTTAGTATTCCGTGACCTTTATCACGGGTAATATGCCGCACTAACTAATCTTATCTCTCCAATCATAGCCCCCTAGATACTGGAGGCTGGTTATCTTCTCTCTTGAGGTTATCTTAACACTTTAGTGCGCGCGGCACTCGTGAAAAAAAAAAGCGCCTTGTGCGCGCGGCGTTCTGGGCGCTCAAGCGTAAACACAAAAAAGTGTATAATCTTTTCACGCTCCTAACATCAATTCTCGAGCTACGTTTTTCATTTTGGTATCAATGCGTTGGCAATAAAATTCTCTACAAGATCATATGCATAAAATGTCACCAAAGCATTTGCTATCCCACCACGAAGTAAATAAACACGAAGATGACTCGCCGTGACACCCAAACAGGAAGTAAATGTTCATACTCTTTCGTTTGTTGCCAGCCTCACAGTCATCCTACAGCGCTTATTTTGATATCACTGAACTCGCAATAAAATTCCCCACCCAGACATATGCCTATCAATGTCTAATTATGTTCCGCACGAGTGTGGGAACTGGGCGAAGCGTTAGCCGTGATTTCAGCAGCGACGACACTGTTGTGATGCAGCGCTTTGAAAGTTTATACTTATTTCACTGTCCTGACATTATTTCTCGAGCTACGTATTTCATTTTTATAGCAATGTGTTCGCAATAGAAAGTTTTATATATAACATAGAAAGTTCTATAAGAACATGGGTAGAATTGGCCAACAGAGCGTCAAATAAATTTGCGGCGAATAAAATCTTACGCGTGTTTGTACCCGTGAGCGTAAAAAGTTTTTACTTTGCTCATGTTTTTTCAAGTTTATACTTGTTTCACACCGTTTTTTTTTGTTTGTATAGTGTTCGGAATAAAATTCTCTACACAGACATATGCATATAAATGTAGAATCATGATCGCGGCCAACACAAGAGTGTGTGGAGTGGGCGATTACCCTCGTTGTGTCACCAACTCAATAGTCTCTCCTCTAAGTTACAATACATTGCCGTTTTCTCAAATAGGCACTGTGCCTATTAGAGAAAACGAAAATTTAATGGCAAACATATTCATACAAACCCCAAGTCGATCGAGTAGTAAATACCCACTATAACACGGTCCGTAAATTTACGTCGTGATCCGACAAGCGCTTATCTAAACCGCCCGTAATTCCAAGTGGAAACTCCAGGAAAGTGTTAAGAAGAAGATCCTACACTTTGTTGTGTACTGTATATTAGTATGGGTTTATTGGCTATACTAATGATAGTGCTGGGCTGGACATGTACATGTTCAGTTCTATATGTACAGATGAAAGAACTCAGTTCATTAACTGAACACTGGTTCTGTCCAATATCAAGGAACTGAACATGTACATAGTCTAGCCCAGTGATATTAGACTGAACCAGTGTTCAGTTATAGAACTGAGTTTTTTCATCTTCTTGTATAACGCTACCAGCTGCTGTGTTATAATGTCTGCAGGTGGATGTAGATGTCAAACCAACCACTCCTGCCCCCCCGACGGTTCATTTTGGGATGGGAGGAGCTAGGATTTACGGCCCTGGCTACAATCTTTTATTTGTTCCTTTTCCATACGGATAGCTTTATCTGAGTGCAGTATGCGTTCTAAGTAGTTCTCATCATACGCTACTCAGTGGCACGTGCGTTGTTCTGCCCTGTTGGAGCTGGTTGCATCGATCTGGCAGGATTCGGTGTCATTGTTTTCGCCTCACAACTCGCGTGTCGGCTAGTGGTGCTTGCTTTCTCATTGAACTCTACCTGGGCTTTGGCTCTTAGGTTTTCATTGCCATTTTGTCCTTGCTGTTTGCAGGGTATGCAGTTGGGCAGTTTCTGCAAGCAGCTTCTTCTCATTGTCGTCCGTTATCAGACTTGTTTTTTCCTTCGGAGGGTCCTGGGGCGGTCCTTCCTTTTTCTTTTTGACTCTTCGTGGGTATACTACGCTTTTTGTTGCAGTGGTCTTGTCTTTCTCTCGTGGTGGTTCAGGACTGTCGCCTTGTCTCGTGTGGCGGTGGCGGGGCCGCTCCGGATTGCTTTCGGTTTTGATGTTCCTTCTGCACCATTTTGCGAGCCGTCTCAGGCGTTGTTCGCCTCCGGCTTGTTCATGCGCCACCTGAGCCATCCTGGTCTTGGACAGGGTGCTTTCTCCTCTCTTTTTACTTTGGTTCAGTTTTGTTTGAGTGGTTTCTGCTCCTTTGGGTTCTGGTGATTGGTTTGTTCGTTTGCAGCTGTCTTCTTTCCTGGCGAGGTTGGGATGGCTGTTTTCCAGAAGGGACCCTGGGGTTGTTGAAGCTTGTTTGGTAGGCCGGGGGTGCATCATCTTGTGTTTAGTTGTGGCTCTCGGCCTTTGCCTGGATGTTGCAGCTTCTGTGGCCCTGGATGCGTTTTGGGTTGACCCGGGTTCCCTTCATCTCTGTTCCAGGGTTCGGGTCTCCTGGGTCATCCACGGGGTCATTTGGTGAAGCCAGTGGTCTTGCTTTCGGGGATCAGGCGTGTTTAATCCTCCCGGGTTTGTCCCTCTTTTGTCCTAATCTTTGGGTAGTTAGCTCCGGGGAGCCAAAGGGGCTGCCCCCAGAAAACCAGCTTTGAATGTAATGAAATGCCATTTTCTGAGTGAGACCCGCAGGCTCCCCAGCAACCCCTTCCCCGTTCAGCGGTTTTTCGCGAGTTTTGATATTTGATGTTTTTTTTTTATTATTATTTTTCGTGTTTTGATAGTTATAAAAATATTAAAATTTTTAAATTTTTTTTTGATATTTGAGGGTGGATCGTCGGCGCGGTGGAAGCTGCACAGACATGTGACGCAGCATGTGTGACATCATGCTTGTTTGCTTGTTTTCAATTGGGGAGTTCTGTCCTCTCGTTAGTCTTCTTTAGTCGTTTTAACCAGAATAGGGGTTTGTTTTGAAGTGCTTACCTTTCTGGGTGCCTGGCCTGGTCGATGGCAAATATAGAATGCTCCAAATCCCATGTGCATTTCTATAGGCCATTGCTCCTCGTGCCTCTACAAGGGGGCCAGATTCTGGCTCGTGGTCCCCAGTAGGCCTAGAATTCCACTCACACTGACAGATGCCAAAGTCTACTGATATACATATCAGCCTGGATAGCTCCAGGGAGCCTCCAGGTCTCGCCCAGAAAAGGGTGTTCCATTACATTCAACGCTGGTTTTTTGACATTAATATTATGCATTAATGTGAAATTTTAATTTATAGTACAATTTGTGGCTCTTGAATGTGTATTATAAAATACAGTAAGAAATGTTTAGCTTAACAGTAGTTGAAAGAATACTGTATTGATAAAGTCACACAGTAGTATTTGACACTAAAACTTGTATTTATTTATTCTGATTTGCCAGATTAAAAATAAGTTTTAACTTGAATATTATATTAATTCATGGTATACAGTATTTCAGTCTATTTTGTATTGTACAGACTTAAAATATATATTTGTAGTACTACCACTTAATAAACTTGGCGGTCTTGCGGAACAGGCATCGGCAAACGGGGTTCAGCAAAAAGGCAACCTGGAAGAGGACGACTCCACACTGAGTAGTTCAGCGTGTGGAGGTAGCATGGACTCTGCACAACCAGGACACCAGAGTAAGTCTTCCAGTTACTGTTGGGGATGTCTTGTAGTATAGCTGCTTATCGTAATCCTGTATTTTATTACTGTACTGGGAAAGATTGTCATTATTTGCAAGTGCTGAGGATAGGTTTTCCACACACCCTCACTCTGCATCAGCTGTTGCCATTGTGTACATCAGCTGTTGCCATTGTGTGCATCAGCTGTTGCTGTCATGTGCATCAGCTGTTGCCATCTCGTGCATCAGCTATTGCCATCACATGCATCAGCTGTTGTCATCGCATACATCAGCTGTTGCCATCGCATGCATCAGTTGTTGCCATTGCGTGCATCAGCAGTTGCCATCGCATGCATCAGCTGTTGCTATCTCGTGCATCAGCTGTTGCCATCGCGTGCATCAGTTGTTGCCATTGCGTGCATCAGCTGTTGCCCTCGCGTGCATCAGCTGTTGCCATCGCGTGCATCAGCTGTTGCTATCTCGTGCATCAGCTGTTGCCATCGCATGCATCAGCTGTTGCTATCTCGTGCATCAGCTGTTGCCATCGCGTGCATCAGCTGTTGCCATCGCATGCATCAGCTGTTGCTATCTCGTGCATCAGCTGTTGCCATCTCGTGCATCAGCTGTTGCCATCGCGTGCATCAGCTGTTGCCATCGCGTGCATCAGCTGTTGCCATCGCGTGCATCAGCTGTTGCCATCGCGTGCATCAGCTGTTGCCATCGCGTGCATCAGCTGTTGCCATCGCGTGCATCAGCTGTTGCCATGGCGTGCATCAGCTGTTGCCATGGCGTGCATCAGCTGTTGCCATCGCGTGCATCAGCTGTTGCCATCGCGTGCATCAGCTGTTGCCATCGCGTGCATCAGCTGTTGCCATCGCGTGCATCAGCTGTTGCCATCGCGTGCATCAGCTGTTGCCATGGCGTGCATCAGCTGTTGCCATCGCGTGCATCAGCTGTTGCCATCGTTTGCATCAGCTGTTGCCATCGCGTGCATCAGCTGTTGCCATTGCATGCATCAGCTGTTGCCATTGTGTGCGTCAGCTGTTTCTATCGCATGCATCAGCTGTTTCCATCAGCTGTTTCAATCCTCATCTCTGGAACTTGCTGTGCTTCTTCCCAACTCAAAAACTTGCACTCACTCCCACATGTAACAGATGCTGAATGATACCAAGTGCTCATTTTAGTGGTTATGTGAGGGTAGTTTGTGTTACTGTCATTTTAATGAGGAATTCTTCCACACATTTAAAATATATTTTCATGTACTATTCTGTAGTAATTTGCCAGTCATCACTTACTTCAACTGTGCTCAAAGTTAGTGTCTCGTTAAAAAATGTATTGTACAGTACATGCCGGTTCATGATGTTTTATGATAGTTTTAGCATTGGTTGGCATATCTGGACATGAGGGTTTAGCAGTGTCCTTATAGGTTGATAATGTGTTTTGTTTAGCCTCTGTTGACCAGGTGGGAGATGGTAGGCCTATCTAGCACCCTACTGTTACTTTATCATCACTACCTCTCTTGGAATAGGGTGACTCAATCTTCTGCCTATCCCCCACTGATCCAAATATCACATTGATACTTAGCATGAGCAGTTCTTAAATCAATCTTCTTGCACCTTGGGATGCATGATGGTATCCAAATATATACTTGCTAATAGTATCAAAATAGACTAAGGGGACTGTTGTGAGCCAGGCTTTGAGGTCTCACATTTTAAATAAATAAAAAATTAGTGGTGCAATATCATTATTGAAATATGGTTAACAATATATTGCTTTTCTCTGTATTCACATAGATTTTTATGAGTTGTAGTTATGTGAGGGCTTGGTTTAGTTGATACAGCAAGAAGGTGAAAAGAAAATGTATATATATATTTATGGTTACATGCCCCCCAAAAATATGGACAATTGGTTGGCATTTGGTATTTTGTATATATTGTCTGGATTTTTAAGGCATGATGTGAATATTGCATGTTAAATCACAAATATATGACTACAAATTAAACCTGCAAATTTGTGTGCAAAATAATAAATCTCATGTTGGTGGAAAGTGTTTTGGGAGCTCTGAAACCATAAATACACATTTGTTAGGCCTATTACAGTGTAAGAGCGTAGGTGTCACCTTAGCCATTGGAAAATTCTGGTGCTCTTAACTCCTGCAGGTCTTAAAACAGCATTGCTTGGGGAGCCCCTTGGTGGCTCCCTGAAGCTATGTTACTGATACAGCTTAGCTGCATCAGTCATAGGAATGTACTCATCTAGTTGTACTTGAGGGGGTTGAACTTCGGCTCTTTGGTCCCGCCTCTCAACTATCAATTAACCACTGTACAGATTACTGAGCCTGTTAGGCTCTATCATATCTACATTTCAAACTGTGTATAGCGTCTGCCTCCACTACATCACTTCCTAATGCATTCCATTTGTTAATTACTCTTGACACTAAAATGTTCTTTCTAGTATCTCTATAACTCATCTGGGTACTCAGTTTCCACCTGTGTCCCTTTGTGCATGTACCCTCTGTGTTAAATAAATTGTCATGATCTACCTTATCAGTTCCTCTGAGAATCTTGTATGTGGTGATCATGTCTTCCCCTAACTCTTCTTTCTTCCAGCGATGTAACACTTAGTTTCCGTAGTCTCTCCTTGTCTGGTGTCATATCTCTGAACCTTTTTCAGTTTAGTCTTAAGCTTGACGAGTTATGGATTTAATGCTGGAGCTGCACACTGCAGGATTTCTGACAAGTGGTATACAAGGTTCTGAATAATTTCTTTCACAAGTTTCTAAAGGCCGTTCTTATGTTGGACAACCTAGCATATGCCGCTGATGATGTCCCTTGATGTTGGCTTCAGGTGCCAATTAAGCCCAGGTCTTTCTCTGTTCAGTGTCAACAAGTCAACTAACAGTTGACAGTGTCAATGAAACTGTCTCAGTGTTGTTGGCCTATTGGGGATCCAGAGCCAGAAACTGTCCCCCCTTGATATGAGGCATAGGGAGCAGGGAATTGTTATGATCACCCTCAACGAAAAATCACCCAGAAAGGAACTGAAACAATAAAAAATATTTTTTTTTCATAAAACAAAGCACCAACGGAGCCAAAAGACACTGCAAAAGAAATGCTCAAAACGAAAAGGTTCATTCAAAATTGGGTTCAAAACAACTACCCAAAGTGTCCATGCACCAAGCCAGCAGGTGTTGGCAAAAGCCATGCCCCCCCCCCCCCCATGTCCCACATTTAGTCTTATTGCTGATGAGGGAGAGTTTGTCTCGCCTTCCCTAGCCTGCCAGTCATCTAGTTCTACTTGTTCTCTAAATTATGTACTGTATTATAAAGGCTTGGGACTGCTTTCCCCTAGAGCCACCATTCCCTAGGTGTTCCTTTAGCATTGCCCCTTCATGATCAGAGTTGTCTTCTCTGGTGTGTTTGGGAGTTTGTCCTCTCTGAGAGGTCAGGCCACCAGGGTGGAGAGCCTCGCTCTCAAGTATTACACAAGTCTTGGGCTTCTCTTTATAACTTTGTGGTTGGGGCATTCTGTTTCTGTTATACTTATGGGACATGTTTGGAGTACTTCACTAGTTTATACAGCATTTCACAGGCACTTTCTGGGGGGGAACCCCTACGGCTCCCCGGAGCTTACTAGGCTGATATGCTAATGTCAGACTTTGGCATCAGTCATGTGTATGGAGTTCTGTGGGCCTACCGGGGACCACGAGCCAGAACCTGGCCCCCTCTTGAGAGGGAAGCCAGGTATCTGGTTGTTTCTCAGCGTGCCAGGTATCTGGTTGTTTCTCAGCTAGCCAGGTATCTGGTTGTTTCTCAGCTAGCCAGGTATCTGGTTGTTTCTCAGCTTGCCAGGTATCTGGTTGTTTCTCAGCTTGCCAGGTATCTGGTTGTTTCTCAGCTTGCCAGGTATCTGGTTGTTTCTCAGCGTGCCAGGTATCTGGTTGTTTCTCAGCTAGCCAGGTATCTGGTTGTTTCTCAGCTTGCCAGGTATCTGGTTGTTTCTCAGCTTGCCAGGTATCTGGTTGTTTCTCAGCTTGCCAGGTATCTGGTTGTTTCTCAGTGTGCCAGGTATCTGGTTGTTTCTCAGCGTGCCAGGTATCTGGTTGTTTCTCAGCTTGCCAGGTATCTGGTTGTTTCTCAGCTAGCCAGGTATCTGGTTGTTTCTCAGCTTGCCAGGTATCTGGTTGTTTCTCAGCTTGCCAGGTATCTGGTTGTTTCTCAGCTTGCCAGGTATCTGGTTGTTTCTCAGAGTGCCAGGTATCTGGTTGTTTCTCAGAGTGCCAGGTATCTGGTTGTTTCTCAGCTTGCCAGGTATCTGGTTGTTTCTCAGCGTGCTAGGTATCTGGTTGTTTCTCAGCGTGCCAGGCTCGGGTTTTTGTTAAACTGGCAGAAGTCCTACTTGGTTCCATCCCAGGTTTGAACCTGGTTGGGCCTCATTTGGGACTCTGTCGGTATCTCTTTACCTGTTCCTTGCAGCTCTGCTCCACCTGCAATGTCATTGCCGTCTGGTGCTGGATCGGCCCCCAGATGACTCGTCGGTTGGTCAAGCATTTGCGCGGGAGCCTGAACTTTTATCTGCATAGTATATTTCCTGAACAGGGTTTGGGTTTGGACATTGTACTAGTTCCTCAGGTTTTGCTCCTTTTGCCATTGCTTGGACCATCAGGTTCAGGCCCCTCCTGCCCTTCGTTAGCTCTTGCTTCACCAGCTTTTCCTTCAGGCTTTTCGGGATTCAGTCCCATGCCGCCATTCTCCTCTGTCACTCAATGTGTTCATTGAGAGCTTCTGCTCTGGATTGGGGCTTTTTGACCAGCGTGCACCAGGCTTCCCAGGGTAGGTAGTCGGGCTTACTCTGTCAGGCACATAGCACGATACGTGAGTTTGTGGTGGTGTGACAAGCCTTTCACAGGGTTTTCTCCCTCTGGTCTCTGTCATCCAGCTCCATTCCGATTGCTCCCCAATGGTTCATACTTTGAGTTCATACTAAAATTTGTCAAGATCTTCTTGTATCATCTTACAA